GRAAAAAAAAAAAGGCATTGTGGAACTTCCACTTTCCCCTTCCTTAGCGGTGATACCTAGGAATCACGTAAACTACGTGATTTATTTCCACGTGGAATGTTATCAGATCTGCAGCCACTTTCTCATGTTCCAGCCTTTTCCAAAGACCATAGATGTTTTGAAGGAGATCCTGCCAGAGTTAGGGAGGCTGCACATGCAGTTTCTAGAACTGCACAGCTGCAGCCCAGTGCAATGTGCAAAGTACCCCAGCACCAAGCTGTACATTGCCGGGACTGTCACTGCCCAGACTAAAGCACGTCCCTCTCTTCTTCTCCAGGTAGCTCAAGCTCCCTCAGGTTATTTAGTGAAACTTACTCTGCTGAAACCTCTGAAGATCAGAAGGACTAAAAAGTAATGTTAGGAATGAACATAGTCCCATTAACTTCTTCACTCTTACCCTAATGACAAGTTAGGCCATGCTTTGGCTTTGCATCAGCCAGAGGAAAACTGTGTCCAAGCACTGTGAGTATCCCAGAGCAAGTTCCCCACTAAACTTGCCTTGCCTGCATCCCACCTGTATTGCAGGGGTTTGAAAGGGCTGCCGGTTCTCTAAGAGGCAGAAGCCTCCTGCAGTCTCCTCCTTGCTTTTTCACTGAACGGAAACATGGTTTGCCACTACAGTGATGGTTGAGAGCACAGCTTATATTCGTAAGAAGTTAATGCCACTTTATTTTCCAAATTTTTTCTGCAGTTTTTTAACAGGATTGGGGTGTCCAAACTGCATCGACTATTTCACCTCACAAGGGTTACAGAATATTTACCACCTGCAGAACCTATCCATAGAGGTAAATGCTTTGGGAAGATCTGTTCTTACCACTTGTTTCTATCAGCTGTTGATCTTAAAAGCAAGGACAAACAGTTTTAAAAGAAAAGGGAAAAAAATGTGCACCAACCTGTCACAGAACATGTCTGTTCCCCGTGATGTGTGTCTTCCTTTCCAGTCCTTCAGATGTAGTAGGAGTTCAGTCCTTGGTAGCAATCCCAACAGTCGGTCAGTCCAGACAGCCAGAAGCAAAGGCTCAAAGGATAATGGGGAAAACAAACAAAATTGTAACTCAGTGAACTTCTTTCTAAAATGAGCTAAAAGGTCCCCAAATCGGACCTCAGATACTTCTTTTTTTCTTACCTAACATATAGGAGAACAAACTGCTGTACTCAGCAAACTAATTGAAAGCCCATAGAATTGGTATTTCAGCAATTCTTAAATCAGACCTATAGTTCTGATTTTGTCATTCCACATAAATCTTCAGTGTGTCTGTCTGACAACAGAAGATAAAAAATGAGTCAACCCCAGGATACCTGTGTTCTGGGACTCAGGGCTCCAACCCTGGGATCCAACAGCACAAGTTAGGCAAAACTAGAAGGAAAACTTGTATAAATTATGTTAGAAATATCCTATATTACATTGTGTGTCAGCRCTCTGCAGCTGGGGGGAAGAGGGGGTTGGTGCTGTAATCCTTGGCTAAAGTGCAACTCTTGGTGCAGATACTAAGGTCATGCCTAACTGGAAGAGGAAAAAAAAATCCCTTTCAGCTATAATCGGTCCTAGAGTCAATATTCTGGCTAAGTCAAAGCTCTTACCTTGATTCATTTTCACCCCTAAGTCACTTGTCTTCTATCCAGCACCTAAAATAAAATACTGAGAACATGTTTGGATGATGCAGTTGTTGAAGACACAATGATTTTTCATTGGTAGCTGGGGCCAGTTGCGTAATCTTAGTCTGGTTTTGAAGCGTTTTCTGAACTAACTCCGTTATTATCTATAAGCTGTCAAAAGAAACATTTGGAACAGCCAAAACTTAATTGCAGATTGCTGAGCTGTGTGTTCAAGTTCACATTTATAGTTACTAATCGCATACTCGCTGTCTTCTCTAGTTAACACTCTCGTGAGTCTCTGTGTTTGGCATTAACGTGGCTCTCGAGCAGCTCTCCGTTACGGTAGTGTTTGTTCTCATGCGGGCATCTGCACGTAGGTCACCGGGCCCCCAGATTTTAAAGCCCCTGCTTAGCATYGTGGCCACAGCCCTTCCTGTCCGTCATGGCCATCTGTCCAGTGCGTTAATGCAGGTGGCAGAGGGCTGGTCCCAAGCAGCCCGTGCCAAGGACAGTTTGGGGAGCGTGGCRCATGCCCAGAGCCACCAGTGCCCTCCCGGGGGTCGCGTCTTGCCTAGAAACGTGGGTCAGAGCCCTCCGGCCAGGACGCAGGGAGACGAGCGAGCCCAGAGGAGCCGGGCTCATGGCTGCTTAGCCAGGGGAGCAGAACAGCCCCGCACTTCACGTGCTGCTCTGCAGTGTGTGTGCGAAYGCAAGGCGCCCATCCCTCCCCTTTGCAGATGAGCTATGTGAAACAAGCACTTGCTTCTCCTCCTCCCCCTAGATAAAAGAAACATTTCCTAGCCCGCAAAGTTGTGTTTGAGTAACTGGTCAGCTGGCCGGGTTACAAGTGAGAAGTTACCCGTCAGGGCCAAACGTGTGGCCTTGGTGCCGTGACGGGGAGGCGCGGGCTGCTCTGGGCTGCTCTGAGCCGCACGCTGCCAGGGCTCGTGCCCAGCCGTGTTCCTCACCTCCGTTACCGGATCCGCGTCAGCAGTGTTGTTCTTGCAGGATCTCGGAGCACTGAAGATCCCGGAGCAGTACCGGATGGTCATCTGGAGAGGCCTGCAGGAGCTCAAGCAGAGCCACGACTACGGCGCCCAGCAGCTCATGCGCTCGAGCGGCAGCGCGGGCAGCATCGCGGTGGGCGGCGAGCTGCAGCGGCAGCGCGTCATGGAGGCCGTGCACTTCCGCGTGCGGCACACCATCACCATCCCCAACCGCGGCGCCGACGACTGGCCCGACTTCGGCTTCGACCTCCCCGACTGCAAGGCGCGCAAGCACTCCATCAAGGAGGAATTCACGGAGGGAGAGATTAACTGACGGCCTCCAGAAGGGAGCAGCGAGAGACTGGACACCGAGTTAGAAGAACAGAGGAAAAGATGAAACCCCGGATGAGAAACAGCGAGTTGTTTTCAGCCTCGAGTGTCTGGTTGAAAATGTAGTTGCATTGGACAGACGGGAACTCCGAGCCATGGGAGAAAGCCTCGCCCTGGTCCCTGCATTAGGCATCTTCCCCAGAAAGGAAATTCCAGGGGGGTTTCAGAGGATCCAGGGGAAGGAAAGGGCTGCTGAAACAACGGCTGAAAAGGAACGCAGAGATTTTCCAGTGGAGGGAAAGACAGTCGCTGGTTTATAATGCTACTTTATATATTACTGCATCAACCATATGCAGCATAAGGATAGCACTGCTAGCAAAACTCACCTTTTCCTCTTGTCTATCCCTCCTGTGTATCCTCAGTGATGTCCAAACCCTACAGGTCTTCATCGTTGGAAAAGAAAGGAGGAGGAGGAGGTTTACATCTGCTCTATTTGCTATRAAGATATCTGCCATTGACGGAGACGAAGCAACGAAGCCCATTTGCTTTCCTGACGGACTGCCAGAAAGTGTCTCTCTCCCTCAGTGCTACGTAGAGCAGAAAAACAGCCCATTTGGTAATTACAGATGTGTTCATGTACTTATAACTGTGTATATAGACAGACCACAGTGTACATACAGTATCCTCATTGTGCTGCAAGGAAAAGAAAAAAGATTTATTTTCATGTAAGCTATAAAAATTGATACTTCTGAGACACTGTAGTGTCAAGTTAAGTTACTTTCCTTCTCTAGCATGCAAACATGCAGAAATCATGTTTCCAGGACATATCCACCAAAAATTAAAGTGATTTCCCCCTCTTAGTGTCCCTCATGCAAGAGCAAAGCAGGGGGGGAGCCAGTGAATTCCCTCTGGGCCTCGGAGTTCTGCAGAACGACTCCCTGCACCGTCAGAGGAGGCGCGAAGACAAGTTAGACCAAGCCCTGAGGAACGACTTAGATGTAAACTTGACCCAGCCTCCGTGTAAGGTGACGAACTGGGTGGCTGCATGAATTGGGTCTAGTTTATTTCCCATTAGCTCGAGTCTTAGCCAAAGCTGCCCCTATTAGAGCTTATTTATAGCCCAGCCCGACTCTGGCCTTGTACCTTTGCTTCCTGCAAAGCAAGCTGCTCGCAGGCATCCCGGGCTGGTTCCCAGGGTCACCCAGGGCTGGGGACAACCGCTTCCTCCTTCCCGCCTGCTGCTGACGGCTCCTGGTGACTTCTTCAAGCTGTAATTGAGCTGTTGATTCAGCCTGAACTCGGCGCGGAGGCGGCTGCATCCCCTCTGCCCCAGCGAGCCGCGAGGCTTTCAAAGGGCGAGGGTCTGCACGGAGCCTCTGCGAGGCCCCTCGGGAAGAGGGCGGTTAGGGAGCTGCTTCCTGCACCCGGCCGGCCTCGGGCTGCTCCAGATTTCCAAGGAATGGCAGGAACGGCCTCGCTGCCTCCTCCTCCCTCCTGCCCTTGCAGGGCTCCGGCCGCTGCCTCCCCGAGGAGGAGGCCGGGCCTCCCTTGCCCTGGTGCAAACGCGCCCGCAGAGAGCAGCTCGCYAAAGCACTTTACGGCTTCAAAGGCTTTCGAACCATCACTTGCGTTTCCTATGTTACCTAAGGCTTCTTCCAGCAGTATTAAGTGACACACTCCAACCATGTTATGAATGGTATTTTTTGTAATGTTATCTTTGGAAAATGTGTTATTTTTATAGCTGTATTTGCATTTTTGTTTTATCTTGGTTTTGTTTTTGTAACACAATAAAAGCACATGTCTTCATGACAGCCCCTGCCAGCTCAAGTCTCAATTACAAAGCCCCTGGAAATTGCCTGATGCCACTTTGTGAAGCTCCAAACAAGCAGCTCTGGCCAGAACAGGAGCACTGGCCAAGGCGAGAGTGCTAAATGTCGTCTTCTTTATAAATAAGACTGTTTTCTCAAGAAGTGACTGCAGAAYAGGGCACAAAACTGACAGTGATCTTTATCATTAAGATGAAGCTTTCCCACTTTTGAAAAAGTTACACTGCTAAAAACAACTTCCACAAGAGGAYTGTTTAGTTAGAAATGTCACAGCTGTTTCTAGTTTTAACCATGTACTGCAAATGTAGGATTGGAAAGTGACAGAATTAAAGAATCTTTCAAGAAAAGTGACATGTATCAACTAATACTGAGGGCAAGAATGTTCTTTTAATACAATAAAAAAGCTTCCAAAAGAGCTTGAAAACTGGTGTGAGAGAATTACAGACAAGAAAAGTCAAATCTAGATATCTGCAATAAGCTCAATGTAAGAATTAAAAAGATAAAAGTAACCTGGCTTAAAAGCAGACTTGCCTGTTGTTGAAGGCACTACCTTTTCCTGTGGTGTGTATTCCAAATATGCTGGACTGTAAAAAAATATCTTTAAAATACGTGATCATCACCCTTCCTACACTCAAGAAAAGCGATTATTAAGCTCCTTTTCCTACTAAAATATTAACATACAAGGTTTGCATTTGAGCAAGGAAAACAAAGGGGCGCCGCGGCAGCGAGTGAGCAAGGCGGGCAGCACTGCCCGGAGATGTTGCTCAAGGCCACTAACCTGCTCACAGACTGATTCTGAAGAGAATTTTTAACAATTCAGTATTTATTATAGAAATGTCCCAGTGTGTTGCTTCTTTATGGAATACTGAGAATTCGCCGCCTTCCCGTGGTTCTTCCTCCCTGCACGGTCAGCACAGCTGTAGGACTGCCTGCTTCCCTGCTCCTCTTCCCCACTCCCCAGGAAAGTTAGAAAATTGGAGCTTTTCAGCTACGTCTTTGAAATCCATAGCAAAAATGTAGAAAAACCATTAAAAAACAGCAAATGGAATAATAAATACGGGGCGCAGAAGTGATACCCCTGCGAGCGCGCAGCAGCTCAGCGCTCTGCTGTGCCCACTAGGGCCTCTTGGTGCAGAGCTGCCGCTCGCCCAGCACCACCACAGCTGGCAGAGCTGCTTATCCTGCCTTCCCACAGCCCGAGGAGCCGCTCTCTTCCCGAGACAGCAACACTTCAGGAGCAGCAAAACTCTCCAGAGGAACCCACCGCCACCTGGACAAAACCGCCCACGGCTTCTCCGGCGGGTCCTGGCCTCTGCGCTACGGAGCATCCACAGCGTCAGCACGGAGCCCTTCCAGCCCAAACGTGCCTCCAAGTTGCGGGCATTTCCAGTAGAAGCATCAGAAAAGAAGTCTTTATATACGTAAGGTAACAGTGGAGACATCACTAGGTAAAAAGACTTCACTGCAGCAGAGCTCAAAGCTTGTCCTTCAGCACGGAAATAGAGCGGTGCGCCTCACAGGATTTCAGTCTTGATCACAGCCGCTTCTGTCGCTTCATTCCGTAGGTCAACGGCGGATCCGTTTCTCCAGGACTGCTCAGCAGCCGCAGCTACCTGCATTGTCCACAGAAACTGCTCTTTGGTTATCATGGGAGGCTCTTTGCCTGCAGAGAGGAGGGAAAACAGAGGATAAAGCTAAGGTCTGCTTTGCCTGGACTGGCCCTGGCATTAGTCCTGCCTGCCACTGCAGCCCGATGTAACAATGATTAAAATGGCAACAGCCTCTCACATCAAAAGTTCAAGGGCTATCTTTTCTACTCCTCCTTTCCTCAGCCTTTGAAAAGAAAATACTTCCACGACCTCTCCTGTTCTTGCAACTAAAATCCTGTATTTTTCTCAAACAGAGTCAACTTCAACAGAACACAATTAGTATTATTTCACATCTGCCCATTTTTTTTCTTGCTCTATCAGGCACTAACACCAAACTGCAACTGCTGCTGGCGGCACAACTTCTGGTTTTGGCTGAAAGCAAAGCTAGAGCAACGCTAGCCATGCGGTGAAGGTTCAGCCTACCTTTCAGGGTCCTAATGAAGTGGCGGAAGAGCTCTCTGTGCGCATCTCTGTAGCGATCAGCGTGCGTCTGCGAGCAGAGGGACACCGAGGTGCCGTGCTCTGTAATTCCCAAGGGATTCCGATTATCTACCCGTAACGCTCCTTGAGAACCATGAACCTGCAAGGACGACAATGATGAGGAAGGAGAACAACAGTTTTTACARTCGCTGTGGTTTTGATCTCAAGCAGCTCACCAGACTATAAAAGGCCCTGGTCTGCAGTATCAAGTAGAAATGGATCAGATGATGGCAATGATGGCAAATGTAGCACAGTGGCTTCCACTTCTGGAATATCTTTATTTTGCCTGAGCAAAGCTCCTTTTTTGAAGATGTAACAGATTTTCCAAACACAACCCACACACCTCTTCTAATTCATGACTTCTGGAACTTACAGACAATAGGCCTCTGAGTTAATATTTTTCTTCCCCTTTAATAACCTTCACATTTGTGAGACCTTGACTCTTGGCTTGCTCTACTCCTAGAAACATTTTGGAAAGACAGWAAATCAGCTGGATAGTAACATTTCAGCCCAGAAAAGCTGCCACCCATTCCTGCTCTAGCATGACTGCATGTAACTTATTAGTCCAAGAGAACCTATGTCAACAGAGGCAAGACTTGGACAGCAAAACAGAGTGGATTCAAGAGCTTCAAGAGCTGTTACAAAGTACAGGGCCATTTTGTGCTGTGCATTTGCAAGGGTATCCTTGGGGCACAACACGTCCCACTTGGGAAAACTTCGTCTAGCCTGTGGTGTCGTAAGAGACTTATCTTAAAAACGAGAACGCACCTCTAGTCTCTGATCACAGCTTTTAGTGCAGTGCTGACTGATGTCCAAAGTGACAATTGCTCCGCTAGGAAATTTCATGCTGACTGCTACAGTGTCTGCATCCTTCAAGTAGGCCATATCTGAGTGACAAAAAAGGCACTCGCTCACACCAGGAACAGCAAACCAGCGAACAGCACAGAGCGCTAGAGAAGTCCAAGTCAAACGGAGAACTGGAAAGATGGCATCGACAGCGCTGCAAGCGCAGAGCTTTGCTAGCCGTCTTCTGCATGCTGGCTTCTCCACAGCAAACTCTTRCATCCCTCAACCCTTCACAGGGCCAAGCTCAGGGATCTCTCTACAGCAATTGTTTTCCACAGCAGCCAGGGAAAGGGCAAAATGCAGAAATAATTGCCCAAACACCCTATCTACAACAAACCCTTAGACTCTTATCATCTATGGCATTAGGCTTTTTTTCCAATAGCTCCATGAGGTAATAAATGTGTGTAATTCCATGAGGGAATAATGTAACATACATTCTTTTCCCCCCCCAGGTTAGTACTGAAATATGGAAAAATTGAAAAGTGCAAAAGGTACAGAATCAACTATCCACAGATTTAGCTTTACCTGCACAGAATGCATGTCCCAGAGAAAATACTGTATCTGGTGCACTCTCTCCCAGCAGCAAGCTGATGATATCTATATCATGCACTGCAGCATTATAAAAAATTCCCCCTGGAAGAAGCAAAGCTGGGCATTAAGGTCTTCATATTTAAAGCTCACAGCAAATTTACGTGTCTGAACTGCACTGAAACCGATGCAAAAGGAAAAAATTMACACAAAGAGTTAACAGAAACACTTGCACAACAGAAACAAACATTAAAGAAAATACTCCTTAAAAGAGAAAAAAAAACATGAATCTTAGGAGCACACAARGAGAAGGAATCTTCTGTGAGAACAAGAGCAAGTAATTTCTAATGTTTTGAGAATAAAGTTTTTAGAAGAAAGCTGCTCAGTACCTGACTTCTTTAGGAAGTTAAGAGAGGCTGCTGGGTATATGCTGCTGATCGTTGATATCCGGTGAATCCTCCCCAGTGCCCGGCTGTCACGGACCTTTTTACACAAGAACTGCAGCGCGGGGTCGAAACGCCTTCGAAGAGAAGCGAGCAGCGAGTAACGGTGTTGAGCAGCAAGTAACGCTGCAGACACACTGCTGCACCTCTGCACACAGCCCGCGCCTTGCTCCGCTTTTCTCACCCACTTCCCCGGTACAGCAACTTGGTACACAGCGTTTTGCAAAAAGTATTAATATCCGCCCTTGACTGGACTAACTGAATCAACAGCTTCAATGAGGAAATTAAACTCTGAGGACTAACAGGATCTAAAAGTCCAGTAAGTTACACGCAGCTCTCCTTGGAGCCCTGCTTTCAAGGTGACACTCGGGTGAGCRTGGACCAAAACAGACACGCTAGAGAAGTTCACACTCAGCTTTATGGGGAACAGACCTGTATGCAGAGCACTCAAAGTGAAAGGGCAAGCGTTAATGTGGACRTTTTGTGTAATTACGCACCAAGATTTACAAAATACATTCTCAATGCAAGTAATTGTTGCTGGTGGTGAAAGGGTGGAAGGGTCTGCCCAAGGATCTCTTGGGCAGAGCAGTACAATCCGCAGGGCCACAAGTCTGCTATAAATGAACAACACTTAACGCTGCAGCATATTACTAAGCTGGAGAGAGCTGCAAGTTAAACACTTGACCCAGAAAACAATGAAAAGCAAATCTCGGCAGCCGTGTGTTTAATAAAACCGTTGATCTGCCCGACYTAGTGGTTGTTTATAAGCATGTGCACACACAAGCTATAAACAAACAACTCCTTTTGTTCCTAAAACCACAGGCCAAGAAGGTGCTTTAGAGAAGGGCACAGCATTGCCAGAATATTTTTCTCTTTCAAGCTTCAACTAGCATCTCCAAAACCTCGAAGTGTCTGCAGAAATCACCTGTGTCCATTCKAAAAATAAAGGGGCTTTCATGTCTYAAGAGTTTTGTCATTTGAGTTCCATTCTTGTATGTGCAGGTACGTATTTTAATTCTGCAACGGACCAGATTTCACCTCCGTTAAGCATGAAGAATTAATSAAATCCAAACGCCCTACTGAACAACGTTGACAAGTAGCAACGAAATAAAGGAGGAAATCAGTGCTACTTTCAGCCATACACTTCTTAACAAGTACAGATCAGAAGAAAAATGCTGGTCTTACTTGTAGAATCCACAAACCAACGGTCTTCCACATCTGTCAGCTTCATCAAAACAAGCTTCTGCTGTCTGCCTGTCTTTACTGGGTAGCCTCTCGCAAAATACACCCTTCCCTATGCAAAATGTCACAGAATATAGAACTGAAGGCAGGGCACAATCAGAGCTAAACGTTTTCTATCTCGCWATATTGCATACAGCGAGTCAGTACACTCTAGAAAGCATGTTCCATCAAACCCGAGCACGGCTTTTATGCTGATGATGCTAAATCCCTTTTTGCTGCCAGCTGCTATGGTTTCATTAACCATTTTACAAAACCMAAGAGGTCCCACTGCTTTTACAGCTAGTTTTCCTTTTATTCCCGACTGAACTGCCAGAACTGGCTATCTGAAGAGCTGCTAGTGAGGGCAGCACAGTACAAACACCATTGCACCTGAGCCATTAACATCAGCACCATTAACAGACTAATTTCTCTTTAATTATGCAATTAGTCTGCACACCTCAAAGGACACTGCTGCAAAGCACAGAGTTACAGCACGAGTGACTAAGGTGCAGAAAGATGTAATTATCCCTAGGATAGAGAGTGCCACGCGTGTTTGGCAACGTGTGAACACGCAAGGCSTACCCCAGCGCGTGCCAACACCATCCCCAAGAGCAGCTGCAGCAGTTCATCTCACCGGCTCGTAAGGCATCTATGACAATCTCAGAGGCTTCTTCAGGAGGGGAAGAGACGATGACTCCAGCCACCCTGCAGGAGTTAAAAGAAAGTTCTTCAGTGAGAACGTGATTCCTACCGGAATATCAGTGGTCCTAACCTCCTTTCAGATACAGCTCSTATGTTAGCTGTCTTAAATCACAAGAAAGAGCTAAATGAGGCACAGAACCCCATACACGGGAAGAAAAAGTTACATTATGAAAGGAGCTGCCRGCCCACGGTGCTCTGAGGCGCCAATGACTGAGAGGGAGAGCAATGCAGGAGCCAAACTTCCACAAAATCTCCTAGTTCAAAGCCAGTAGCTTCCTTAGCATTTTTGTAAAGCACATAGAGAAGGAACCTGTTCTTAATGAAAATGAAAGCAGACACAGTTAAATTCGCAGCTCAGAAAAAAAAAAAAAAGGAGTCTTTAAAAGATCTCTTTGAGAGCTGCTTGAACTCATGAGCTGCTTGAAGCACAAGCGGCGCCTCGTGTGTTCACTTTTAACACCACACTCTCATTTTAAACATCATCTACCTCTCCAAAAACCTTTGCCTTTTAGTTTTGTAATGGTATTTACAGCACAGGTTTAAGAGCTGGCTGTAACAACAGCCCTGGAGAGCATTTGCTTGGTCAAGCCGCAGAGCAAAAAGCCACAGTTGTCCGTGTTTCCAACACAGAGCTTTTTGAGGACAGYTCAAAGGAGCCCCTAGGATGAGGCAGCTGCTCTGGGGAGGAGCAGCTGTGGGCGGCCGCAGGCCCGGGTTACGTGTCACCACACGGGGATGCAGAACAGGGTTTTGCTTGTCCTGCCTGTTCTGCAGAGCTGCCCGGTCGCCTCGAGTGCCCCGGCGTTCCCGGCCYGGCGTTCCCGCTCAGGCAGCCGGGCCGGTTCGCGGTCTCTCGCGGAGCACAGCCGGGCCGGGCTCCCGCGGGGACGACGAGGGGCGCGGGGCTGGGTGGCGGCAGGGGGCCGGGCGCAGGGCACGTACCGCTGGTCGCGCAGCACGGCCGGGGCGTCGTGCCGCCGCAGCAGCCTGGCGCCGCGCAGGAAGCCGGCGCTGAAGGCGGCCTCCACGTCGCGCGGCTGCTCGGCCACCACGTAGAGCAGGCGGCAGCCGCTCTCCTCGGCGGCGCTCTGCAGCGAGGCCGTGCCGGCCAGGCCCTCGCCGAAGAGCGCCAGGCCGAGGCCGGGGCCC